CTCAGGAACATCAAAAAGCGGTGCTTGAGTTCGTGAGTCGTTTCTATGGTAGAAAACTGATCATTTAACCACTGATTTTCCTCCCAACACACAAAGGACTTAAATCAAGGTGTCTGTAAATTACAGATCACTGAGCAATTAAAAAGCCAGCACTAGGGAAAGGAGCAGTTTCCTTTCCTGCAGATTGTGTGAATCAAGGATTAATGCAATTATCAATATCGCACAGAACATCTCCTTGGAAACAGCTAAATATAGTCCTGTGTGTGGAGCACTGCACCACTCACAGCTATGCCAAGGAGCTGACAAACAATGCAAAAGCAGAGCTTCTCTCCTCCAGCTTTTATTGGTTTGGGGAATTAATTCACCTGACCATTGTCACCACCTTGGTAGTAACTGATCACAACGCTCTGCAAACCAGGCTCAGTGGAAGAGCACTCAGTTGTGACACACAAAATTAACAGCAAAATCTCTTCTCACCCTTTCCATAGGTGCCCAGATCATAAAATTTGTTCCTATTGCCCATTAAATATGTTTTCTAATACTCATTGCTCCTCACATTTAAAAAAAAAAAACAAAACCACAAAACAAAGAGCAGACAAAAACATGCCCCACTATTTAGAAAATGCCTTTCCTTGGGGTGGGCCGACAAATCCACCCAAACCCTTCCACAATGCACCAATGTCCATGGGCTTTCTAAATATGAGCATACAAATTAAACACTTCAGGCTCAGGCTGCATTAAAATCCCGAATTCTTTGTATATATGCAGGACTCTGCTGTTCAGCAAAGGGAATATGGAACTGCTACATCTAAATTTTCAAAGGACAGACAGAAAGAGCTCCAGCAAAGTCACTGTCACACACAGCTGGGCCTGCACAGAAAGGGGTTTTTAAAACATCTTCAGTGCACACAAAGTGAAAGCTGGCACAACATTTTCATACCAGTGAACAAAGCAGCCAGATCCCAGCACAGAACAGGTCTGGAGATGATGATCCTACTGGAAAGATCTCCATAGACAACCCTCATTCAAGAAAAGAAATGCCTGAAACACAAGCCCTACTGACTTCATTGCTCATGACCTATTTAGAAGTGGCCTTTCAGTGCCATTAGCTGATTCACTGCAGCACAGGGTTGAGTTACAGCTCTACAAGAACGAAAGAATTTTTTTTATAAACAGAACTACAGCGTGGTCACGCTATTCCTGAGGCAGAAAGCCTAAAACCAAGGAATACTGGATGAAAAGTTTTACCTGTATTATGATTATTTTGTTTCTTTTTATTAAAATTATTACAAAATTTTCACCCTAGTTATGTATTAAATGCTAATATAAACAGTGATTTGCATCAAGAAAGGTTCAGAAGAATATATTAAAAAAGAAGAGTAAAAGGACCAACAACAAAGAAACAAAGCAGCATTTTTAAGAGCACCATGTATGGTTTTGCAACCTACTCAGCTCCCTGCAAAGCAGCAATGCAGTCCTAGCTCAAAACCTGTATTTCTGTTAGAGCCTGACCAACATTTTCAAGATATTCCTGTTTTATGAGTTTCAGTTCCAAACTGGTATTCTTAAAAAAGGTGACGTCTGTAGAGTACCTCATGCACCACTCTGGGTTTGCATTTAAAGTATGACTGACCAATAAGCAATATATAAAAGCAAATTTCTCTGG